GCCGGATGCCTAAAGCACAGCAAGTTGGCACAGTAGGGGGCACAGGTGGTGCAATCGGCCAGTCATCTCAGTCGACCCGTGGCACCAGGGTCTGCCCTGTGACCTCCCTGCCAGCGGGCGTTTGACACTTCACGTGGCCTCAAGGTGCACATAGCCTGGCACAAGCGCCGTGGTGACGTCACCGCCACTTAGTGGCGAATGACTGTTTTTGATGGTGGTGTGTTAGTGGTGGTGTGTTAGTGGTGGTGGTGTGTTAGTAGTGGTGGTGGTAGTATAGAAGTGGTGGTGGTGGTGTGTTAGTAGTGGTGGTGGTTGTGTGTTAGTGGTGGTGGTCGTGTATAAGTGGTGGTGGTGTGTTGGTGGTGGTGGTGGTGTGTATTAGTCGTGGTGGTGGTGTGTTAGTAGTGGTGATGTTAGTGGTGCATTAATAGTGGTGTTTTGTTACTGATGGTGGTGGTTTGTTAGCAGTGGTGTCGTCATGTTGCTGGTGGTGGTGTAGTCATGTTACTGGTGGTGGTGTGTTCGTGGTGTTCCTGGTGGTGGTGTAGTCGTGTTCCTGGTGGTGGTGTGTTCGTGGTGTTCCTGGTGGTGGTGTGTTCGTGGTGTTCCTGCTGGTGGTGTGTTCGTGGTGGTGACCGCGTCGCGTTAATAGTGCTGCTGCTTGCGTGTTATCGCTGGCGGTGGCGGTGGTGGCGGTGCTTTGTTAACGTTAGCGGTGATGACGCGGCGCATTCGCTCTTATTCTCGGCGACGACAATGCTGCCGCTGTCGACGACAATCCTGGCGCCACTGATGGTGGCCGTGCGGCTTTGCCCTCCGCGGGAACCGCTCCGAAGGCCCCCGCGGCCTCTACGGCTGCGACGGCGTCGCGCGGAAGAACCCGACAAATGTGGCACGGGGATCGAGAGCTCGCCCCCCCCCCCCGCCCCCCCCCCCTCATCAGCACTGATGGCTATGTTCATTAGACGCGCTCTCGGGGGGCCGCATTCATTAGAGAAGTGCTCCCCCTGGGACCCCTTACAATATGGCATCACCCCCCCCCCCCTGCAATACAGACGCCCTCCCCCCCCGCCCGCCCGCCCTGGTTAGAGAAGGAGGATGTCTCGCTCACGTGTTTGGGGGGGCGGGCTCGGAGGGGAGGGGGGGTGTCGGGCAGGAGGGAGAGAGAGTGGTGGAAGGGGGGGGTGAGAAACAATTGGGGGGTTTGGATGTAATGGGATTGGGTGGTGGGTGGGGATTGGGTGGTGGTGGTGGGGCAGGGGGAGGGGGTGTTGGGGTGGGGGCGCGTGTAGCGTTTTAACGAGAACCGCCTTTGTTAGGAGAACCTCTTAAATACGCGACCCAAATGTTGCGAGCGTAAAGTTTATGGGGTTTTTTTTTGCCGATGCGATAATTAGGTAGGGGTAGGGGTGCCGGGCGGTGGGTGGTGTGATGCGTGTTGGGGGGAGGAATTTGATTATCGCGATTGGCAGCCACTGCTCCTCCAAAACCTCTCTCTGCACCGCTCACCCCCCAGCCATTACCACGGTTATTGTGCCGCACCTGCGCAGTTAAGGGCTGCTGCTGCTGCTGTAGCTGCCACGGTGGTGGTGGTGGTGGTGGTGAACGCACTCTGCTTGCAATCCAGAGGTTGCGGTCCGATCCCAGTGTGGGTTATAGTCGTGGGGAGCGATAGTGTAGCGGTTAGCGCGCTGCGCTACGGGTTCGATTCCCGCGCACTGCCAACATCAGTAATAATTATCTGAACCGGTCCCGGGCCTCCCCTAGGTCAACTCGGCCTCAAATGAGTACCTGTTGCGGTGTGTAAACATTGGCACTAGGGAGACAAAGGCGGTCCGGCGTGGTGTTGGCCACCCACCCCCTCGTGTACCGTTCCGGCCTTCACAGGTGCTCGCTAACAGCACTTGCCCCTACAGTCTGTTAAGGCTATACAGGGGATCTTTGTCTTTGTATAGTCGTGTGGGTTATAGTGTGGGTATAGTCGTGTGGGGATTCCACCGCGTCCTCCAGGACGTCTGGCCAGCCGCGGCTCTGCCGAGCTCACTCGAGTGGAGGGCCCTCCTTCTATCGAATCCGTTGTATTAGAAATGTACGGATTACGTGGCAATTGATAACACCGGTACATATATAGTTGGAGTGAATCCCCCGGCCGTACTTTCATCTTATTCTTTTCCGAGTTGGCAGTGGTGTGAATGTGTCGGATCGATCCTCGCTCGCTCGCGCTCGCTCGCGCGCGCCCGCGCGATCGTCATCGTCGAGTTTAAACGGTGAATCGCCACGGTGCCTGCGACCCGGAGGGACCGTTCGCGACGCAATAGAAGAGCGGTGGAACGCACGACCCTACGGTCACACAACCCAAGCCAAGCGGCAGACTCCCAAGGCCACCCAGGGCCACCCGAGCCACGCGGGCCAGCTGGGCCAGCCAGGCCAGCCAGGTCTGCCAAGCCAACGTTGACCAACCGAGGCCACCCCAGGCCACCCCAGGCCACCCCAGGCCACCAAAGGCCACCCATGTCACTCAGGGCCACCTTATCGACCGATAGCTTCTCCCAGACGGTATTGTGTGCCCCCCACCCCTCCCCCGGCACTCGCCGTCTCGCTCTGACAGAACAGACGAACCTCGCGAGGACGCCTTTGTTTAAAGCGCACGCACGCAGACGAGAAGGACAATAAATAAATAACAAAATGTGAAATCCGCCAGCGTACGCATTAAATGTAAGCCTCTTAGCTAATGCCTCTTAATTACTGCCACAAAGTGAACAACACGGACGGGCGATTTTGGAAATGTAAAATAATAGCTTTCTCAGGGTCACCACCGACTGCGGTTCGGTGTCTCTTTGCCGACGCTGCCACGCCACCATTGCCGTCGCCGGCACCGCCGGTACTATCACCGGCGCGGGCTTTTTGTTTGGCGTGAATGCGCTATCGGTGTCACGGAGCCGTCCTCTTTGTGTTCTGCTTTTAAGGCCGCGCGTGTTAAGTGGCCGATCTCCACGGCGGGTAAAAATGTGACATTTGCTTGGGAAATATTTTTTATTTTGTCTCCGCGTCGCCATCGCGCGCGTTTTTGTGCGCGAGCGGCAACGTAGCGGTCAGCGCTACGCTGCGCTACGAATCCAGCGACCCGAGTTCGATTCCCGCTCACTGCCAACACCGGTGACGATTATCTGAACCGGTCATGGGCCTCCCCTATGTCGACTCAACCTCAAATGAGTATTTTGTGTGGTGTGTAAACGTCGCTGCTGGGGAGACAAAGGCCGGCGGGGGTGGTACCTGCCACCCACTCCCTCGTGAGCCGCGACAGTGCTTGCCCCAACGGTCTGTTGAGGCTATACGGGGAATATTTGTCTTTGCGGCGTGTGTGTTTCTTTCAAAGGCTTTTTTTTTGTTAGACGTCGCGATTCTTCCTGTATATATAAAAACAAATGAAACCGAGCGGTCATTCACTCTGAATCGGTGGTGTCAAGCCGCGAGACAAAAGAGACTTCCGGCTGGGAACTCTTCCCAGCGAGCAGTGCACCATCCTGTGTCGCACAACAACAACCGCCGGGTCGAGCGCGGTGGCTGTCAGTGGTGAGCGCGCTGTCAATAGCCTGGAGGGACCTGAGCTGGATTCCCGGTCACGGCGAACGTCGCTTGCGCGTGATAACTGAACCGTTTCCTGGGCACCCTCCCCCCCCTCCCGCTGAACCCCCCACTTTCACCAACTCGCACCGACCAGCGTGGTGAAGTATGGTCAAACAGTCCCCGCGGCCGACGCGATGCGGGAAGGCTTTTGGCCAGGCAGTGGATCGATATAATGGGCCGCATTCCGTCGCGTGACGTCAGAGCTCAGTTAACTTGGCCTCTCTGTTATCCACATTTGGAGGTCACAACGTATGCAGTGGATATGCTCCGATCTTAGTGTTCGTCACCTGTCAATCAAATGAAACATTTCAATTCCCAGGGCTGGAATTCGGCCAAATTAAGCGAGAAAGCCAAATTTTGCTAACCGAGGTGAGGCCATCAACACCTTGCGCCGTGGAAGTCTGCTAGCGTCTACAGAAGTATTACGGGTTGCTGTGAAGTCTAATGAGTGAAGTCTAATGGGTCCGCATGTGAGTTAATGGGACTCTCTTTGTGAGTCTATGGGTTTCTTTGCATTGCTATGGGTGTAATTCTATGGGTCTCTACATTAAATCTCCTCTCTCTCTCAGTTCTGCTTGTAAATCTGTTTAATCGCCTGCGGTTGAAACTTGGAGGTTGTCGTTAGTCCCAGGCTCAGCGTCTCTGACCCCCCTTAGCCACCTCTTGCTTTCCACGTGCAAGTCTGGTTCTTTGGTCACTCCACTGCTGGATGAGGGCCTTCCAACGCCGTGTGGGTCATGGGGGATTATTTTTTATGCACTTGGCCACGCTGGACGGTGCGGGGTCACCGGGGAGCGGTGGCGCAGCGGTTTGCACGCTGTGCTATGAACCCGGTGGCCCGAGTTTGATTCCCGCTCGCGGCCAACACTGGTGGTGATTAACTGAACCGGTCCTGGGTCTCCCCCGAGGTCGACTCGGCCTCAAATGAGCACCTGGTGTGACGTATGAACATCGCCACTTGGTGAGCGGGTGTGGTGCTGGCAACACCCCACCGCTTCGTGTGCTGTTCCGGCCTTCATAGGCACTCACTAACAGCACTTGCCATAAGAAACCCATTAAGGCCTATACCGGGGGGGGGGGGGGGGGGGTACTGGTGGGTTGGTAAGTGAGTGTGCGTGTACATACGCATGTTTGTGTGCATGTGTGCGTGTGTGTCATCGCAAGGTGCACCTAGACTGGCGTATGCTCCCTTGGTGACGAACTGCGGCTGTCGATGTCATTGCTGTTGTTTTTGGCGTGTGCGAGGAAGCTCTTTGCAAACGGGATGTTCCATCGCAATTCATTTTTCCAGATTCAACATATATTTTGCAGACTATAAGAAATTAAATTAAACAATAAACCCTGTCCCCCCCCCACTCTGTCCCTCTCGCCAGGCTTCCACCTGAGCGGCACGGTGACGGAACCGGCGTCGCAGTCGGAGCCGGAGCGCGTTTACAGCGTCGCCATCAGCTTCGACCGCTGCAAGATCACGTCGGTGTGCTGCGGCTGCGGCGAGCGCGACATCGTCTACTGCGCCCACGTCGCCGCGCTCTCGCTCTACCGCATCCGGCGCGCCGAGCGCGTCCGCCTGCGGCTGCCCATCTCGGAGACGCTGTCGCAGCTGAGCCGCGACCAGCTCCAGAAGCTTTGCCAGTACCTGATAGCGGCGCACCACACCGAGGTGCTGCCCACAGCACAGAGGCTCGCCGACGAGATCCTCTCGGCAGACTCCGAGAATCAACCAGCTGCACGGTGAGAGCCACCGGCGGTCGGGGGCGGTGGGCGGGGCGTGGGGGACGGGTGGGGGGAGCGCCGGCATCGACGGAATCGGGTCGAGCGGCGAGATTCGGGATGCGTTTGCCGGGTTCGGCGATACCGGGTTTCGGCGATGTGGGCGGATCTTGGGCGTACGGTGACATGTTGGTCGGCGATGCTGGATTAGTGATGGGGCGTTAACCGGGTATGCGGTGAGATGCTGCTCGCATAGTTAGATCGGCGATGACTGGGTCATTATCTGCGTTAACCGGATGCAGAGTCAGACGTTAGATCATTGATGGACTGGATGCATGGCGGGACGCTGGTAGTAATTGCCAAATTTGTGGATCCGGAATGGTGATACAGACTTGCCGGATCCAGCGTGAGATGTTGGTAGTGATGCCAGACCATTGATTCCGGATTAGTGATGGGGCGTTAACCGGGTACGCGGTGAGATGCTGTTCACATAGTTAGATCAGCGATGCCTGGGTCATTATCTGTGTTAACCGGATGCAGAGTCAGACGTTAGATCATTGATGGACTGGATGCATGGCGGGACGCTGGTAGTAATTGCCAAATTTGTGGATCCGGAATGGTGATACAGACTTGCCGGATCCAGAGTGAGATGTTGGTAGTGATGCCAGACCATTGATTCCGGATCGGCGATACAGATATTTTCTTGGGTGCATGGTGGGACCCCGGTAGTGATGCCAGATGGGTGAAACAGGGTTTGCCGGGTTGATAGGGTGGGACTGCTGGCAGTTTCGGCGTAAACGATCGTATCGGTCAACGCGGCTGGCCAGGGTGCTTGTGGCCCGGAAAACCGAACCCCTCTCTCCCTGCGTTCGGGAGACCAGTTGCTATTTATGTGGCACGCACGGGCAACACGCGTGTGCTCTCCCGCGGCGGTTTTGCGTGTTCACGTCTTGACGTGGTGGTCTCCCCCCACGTGGTTGCGCAGGCGCTCCGGACCCCACGGCGGGCGCGAGCTGTGGACGACTGTGAACTGCTGGCACCTGGACGAGGAGCAGGTGCAGGAGCAGGTGAAGCAGTTCCTGTCACAGGGCGGCTACTATGGCTCCGGCAAGCAGCTCAACTCCATGTTCGCCAAGGTGTGTGCATGCGTGCGTGCGTCCCTCCCTCGCTCTGTCTCTCCCTCGCTCCCTCTTATTTGTCTAAATGGGTGCCGCCACCACAGTAGGCCTACGGGAGTCCTGACGCATCCATCCGTCCGACTGTCCGTTGCTCCCTCACAACATTCGTCCGTCCGGCTGTCCCATATCGAGGGATTTGCAGCGCTCATCCCCCACCCCCCCCCATTCATCGTTTGGTTTCTCCCGCGAGGGAGTTAACGCGAGTGTTCGACCGGAGGGCATCCTCAACGAGTCTCATTTTCGTACGTCGGTGTCGCCAAATATTTCGACAATTTTCCTACCCTCAATATCTCGCTTGCCTTTCAACATTCCTCTCATCCTCTTCCGCCGGTTGTGCCGCTAAACCAAATCTGTTTTTCACGTTCGCCCGCCACGTGACAACTTTTCTTGGTTAGCTCCGTCGCCGGGTGGTGGAGAGTTCGAGTTACATGTTGACATTGCACGCTGCACGATGATCTAACCTCAAAATATATATTTTTTTAAACAACAATTATGCGTGACTCACCGGAACCGTTTTTTGACATTTAAATTATTTTCTTCTCTCGCTCCCTTGCTTGCCCTCTCACTCGCTCCCTCGACCTCCTCCGCTCTCCCTCCTTTCTCCCGCAGGTGCGGGAGATGCTGAAGATGCGGGACTCGAACGGGGCGAGAATGCTGACGCTCATCACGGAGCAGTTCATGGCCGACCCGCGCCTCGGGCTGTGGCGGCAGCAGGGGACGACCATGACGGACAAGTGCCGGCAACTGTGGGACGAGCTCGGTGAGAGACGCCGCGCCCGGCCATTTACCGGGCAGCCGCTATCCCCCCCCCCCTCTTCCCCGCCCTGGTCCTCGCCCGGTTAATGTCCGTTTCTCCTGCTCGCCATGTGCCTCCGTTGGATTCCCACGGTCGTTTTGACCTGCGGCCGAGCACGGGACTCGCCAAATCTCGATCGCGGTTTGTGCCGTCCGCCCTGCGGCAGACGCCGCTACCGCCACCCCTACCACCCCCCCCCCAACCCACCACCGAATGTAATCCGGTTACTTTAGCGATCGATTCCTATTCGGCGGATTAGTCGGTTCCATCGCTCGACTAATCGGATAACAGGAAAATAGTCTCAACTCTGTACCCGCGTGCGCCGCTGGACGGGAGGTGATGGGGCGGAATTTGATGACATCATCGACATCATCGGCCGCACCTCCGATTCAGCACGGTTGGCTCTACGTACGGTGCGAAAGAAGTTCAACATACATAGAGACGCGCTTGCATCGCGCTGGGCGTGCCTTGTAGGCGGGAGGCAGGATTCGGGCGCGGGCGTGATGTTTAAAGCGGGCCGTGAGGGAATTGACCACTAAAAGGTTTTCGATTAAATGAATCCACTGCAAAACGAACCTACCACACACAGCCTTAACAGGGAATCGAACCTGCGACAGGCGGGACGGTCGGCAAGCCTGTTGTGACCGCTGAACCAGGGAGCCGCTCGGATACGTGTTGACCAGTCCCTCCGGCCAGCGGCCATCGTGGGAGGGGCGGCGGGTGCGTTGGAGTAGCAAATTGATTGCTCGTTAACCAGCGCGAGGCCCTTTGGACGCCACTGGCAGAACCGGCGGCTCCCGTCCGCCCTTCTTCCCGACCTTGTCCCCGGCCGCGCGCCACCGTATATGTACACACACAAATATTTAGTAATTTATCCTCAATTTTATTCCGATATCAGCCGTCCGCCGGCGCCAGCGTGGTGAGACGAAGCATCCGTTGGGGATCTCTGCGAGAGATCTCCCGCGGAGTTCCCGAACGGAAAGCGGATATGACGGAGCCACTTCCGAGATCCGTCGCTTCAAGTCCCCTCCCTCCGGTCCCCACAGTAGGTGGCAGTGCTGCGTCATGGCATGTTGATCCACTGCTGGATGATTGGGGCGTCACCATGATCTGGGCAGTCCCCGGCCGGTGGAGACGCGGGGAGAGCGAACGCTTTGGGAGCGTGGCGAGTGCAGTACAACATTGGTGGGGCGGGGGGGGGGGGGGGGGCGATGCATCATCGTGAGCCAGAAGTATTTGACACCATCCGTTCTGAAGTTCGTGGAAAGGGTTAAGTATTGGGAGTCCTGACGCATCCATTGCAGAAAGGTTATGGGGAGAGCAGCAAGAAAGGTTGAAAATTATAATTTAGGCTCCTTTCATTGCGCGTGTCCACAACGGTTAGTAAACATCACGCGGAGAGAGAGCGCGAGAGAGGGGGAAGGCGGGGGGGGGGAGAGACTGCCACGTATAGCGAGAAAAGTCTTTGCATAGCAATTGCTCCGTATTAATTTGGCGAATTCAAATTTCAGCCCGGACGGCGTTGCCGAGATTGACATCTCATTTCCAAAAGAGGCCTCCGGAAAATTGCCACTGAAACACTGCCCCCCCCCCCCCATTTGCTCTCAAGAAATAAATAAATATGTGCCTACCGCGAGATAAACAAACGGAACCGGCAGCCAGCGCGTGGCGATGCGAACCGCGCGGCACGTCCCGGCGGTGTTTCGCGAGCCTCTGCCTTGCTCGGAGATTCTCTACAAAGCGTTTAAGGGGCATTGCTGCGGTTGGGATGGATGGACCGCGTCGGTCTTTCAGTGGCGTCGCACTCCAGGAGGAGGTGCCCTCCGCAGGGGATTGTTTTGGCCTAGTCTTCCACGCGGGTGTGACCTGCCACTACTGGCGGGTCGGATTCCTTCAGCATAAATTAATATTCTGATTCTAGTGCCAGTCCGTCTTGGAAGAGGTGGGAGAGATACCCACAAGCTGCGCGATCGCACGCGACCCGCCGGTCGTAGGCCTACTGTGGTGGCGGCACCCATTTAGACACCGGCTGGGTGGAGAGTGACGGTGGTGGAGTGGGGGAGGGGATGGGGCGGTTGTGGGAGGATTTAGAAAACTTACCCCACGATTTCAACCGCCACGTCACAGGGAGATGGAGTCGAACCGGCGATCCTCTGGATCACAAGTCCAGCTCGCTGGATCGCAAGTCCAGCTCGCTCGCTCGCTCACTTGCCACCGCCACCGTGGCAGCGCGCCACCCGCCCCCCCCCGTATCGCAACACGACGATCGCGTGCCACGTGCTTCTCTCCATGACTTTCGGAAGCTTCGCCGGGTTAAGTCCGTGAACCTTCAGGAAGCCTGCCGCAGCAAACGCGTTGCGTTTCAAAGTGACTGACCTTGTCGGATTTCTTGATGACGTGCGAGGGTCCGGGTTAATGGGCGGCCTTGCAAATTGAAATGCGTCGGCTTCCTTCCCCCCCGCCCCGCCATCCAAATGAATAAATAACGCCGCAAAATCTTTGACGCGTCAAAAAAATCTCACGATGTTTCAAATCTAAATAATCTCGGCTCTGTTCCCCCCCCCCCCACCGCCGTTCAATGTTTTGACAGAGCGGTCGGCAAATCTCTTGAGGCCGCCACCTCTTAGAAAAGAAAAAAATTCAAATTAATCGAACGACCTCCGAATGCTCCTACGCAGCTTTCCTCGGTCGTGCTTAATAGGCACTCGCTAAGCACTCACCCTAACGGTCCTTGAGGCTATAATAGTGGGCGGGGGGGGGAATCTATGTCTCGTGTGTGTGTGTGTGTCTGTCAGTGCGGGGGGGGGGGAGGAGGCGTTGTTGCGGAGTGGTTAGCTCCAATACCAATATCCTCCATTCGCCACGAAGTAACGGTGACATCACCACGGCGCCTGTGCCGGGACAGATGCACTTGGAGGCTACCACGTGAAGTGTCGAAGACTCTTTGACAGGAGGTCACGGGACAGACCCAGCAGGTGCCATGAGTAGACTTCTTGAGATGACTCGCAGATTCACCAGCTTTGCCTCCTACTCTGCAAACTCCGCTGCATTTTATCCGCCCGGCGCTCCGTCAGTTGTTGTGAGCGTCGCTCCTCTACCCTCCGTTGTTATTGGAGGGCGACTGCCTCCAACTGGCAAGTAGCAGCATCCTTCACGAGCCGCCTCCACCGCTCTACGAACCCGCACAGGCCGCGTCAACAGTTGCGCCCGGACTGCGTGGCTCGAAGCTTTAGTGGTGGGACACCTTGGTGGGGGGGGGGTGGCCCTCCGCTCCCTCAGCCGCCCCCCGCGCCGTTCCAGACGTGCGTCTGGAGCACCCGGAACGGAGCGGCACGGATGTGAGGGCCTGTGCGACTGGCACCGTCGATCAATGCGATTTGAATCGGGCAGTAGAGAGAGGACCCCCCCCCCCTTCCGCCCACCCCCTCGTTATCCATCCGTTTAATTAGAACGCTGAACCTGACAAGCAGCGCTTGCCCCTCAACCCCCCCCCATCTCCCCTGCCCCCCCACCCTCTCTCCACCCCGAGCCAACCACTGAGGACGTTGATGCCCCCCCCCCTCCACCTCCTACCACCACCTCCTCACTCGTCTCGCCCAGCTCATCCGCCAGACAACTATCGCCGGGCGTCCGGGAAGGGATTTGATTTTTTTTTAATCCTCTCGGCTCGATGGAGAAATGTTGTCGGCGTTGTGGTTTTTCTGTATTTTTATTTTTAAACCCCGGCCCCGAGATGGATGACGGTTTCATGGGGTCTGATCTTGACTACCGTGGCGTCCGGCGCAGGCCTCCGACATTTGCCGTTGAACGCCCCCCCACCCCACTCCGCCACCCTCCCCACATAGCCCCCCCCCCCACCCTCCCACCTCCCACTCACCACCCCTCACCCACCCCACATGGCCCCCCCACCCACCCACCACCCACTCCCCCACCCCTCACCCACCCCACACGGCCCCCCACCCTCCTACCCCCCACTCCACCACCCTCCCCACACAGCCCCCCCACCCCCCCACCCTCCCACCCCCCACTCCGCCACCCTCCCCACACAGCCCTCCCACCCCCCTCCCACCTCCCACTCACCACCCCTCACCCACCCCACATGGCCCCCCCACCCTCCCACCACCCACTCCCCCACCCCTCACCCACCCCACACGGCCCCCCACCCTCCTACCCCCCACTCCACCACCCTCCCCACACAGCCCCCCCACCCTCCCACCTCCCACTCTGCCACCCTCACCCACCCCACACAGCCCACCCCCCCCCACCCTCCCACCTCTCACTCCCACTCCCCACCTCCCCCCACCCCACCCCCCCAACCTCTGCACAGCCCCCCTCCCCCCATTGCCCCCCACCACCCGGTGAAGTACACGGCTGAACTCTCCGGGCGACCCGGTGTTAAAGGTTTGTAGTTTGCGAGCCGAATGGAGCGACGATTCGCTGTTCTGCCGGCCGCTTCACCGTGCCGGGAAGCGGTGCGGTGGACGATGTCGTCGTCATCGTCGTCATCGTCGTCATTATTATTATTATTAACTCAGTTTGGTGGTCGCCGACACGCTCCGGCCTGGCTACAAACGAACTCCGAATCTGTGCTGGACACCCAGGAACGCAGCGTTGACACAATAATGTAATGTTTACGACGCTTGTGTATATCTGGTCTTCGTTATTATTGTCGTGATCATTGTTTTCAAATCTCGAGGAGTCGTCACGCGACCCGACCCTCACTCGCTTTCCCTTGACCCCTGCCTCTTAACCCCCCTGACCCGTGACCATTCCGCCCCCCCAACCCACAATCTCAGCAGCTGCCGGCTCTGTGCCCTGAACTATGATCCCCACGTGGCTACTCGAAGAAAATATAAAAAAACTATTAAAACTCTTTATTTGACAGCCCACTGAGCTGTACGACAGCTCTCTTTCAGAAGCAACCTGGCCACAAATGATTGCTCAAGGAAGTGGCTTACCACGTGGAAATATCTATAGCAGCCAAATACTCAAAACGAACGTTGGTTTATAAATTTTGTGGGAATAAAAAATCCACGTGACCATGGGGAGAGAGACAAGCAAACTCCAAATATACAAGGGTCGGGATCAAACCCACATCCTCCTGTATGCCAGGAGAGGTAGTTAACATCCCGCCACCGTGGCGCCCTCTTTGTATCGATACATCATAACGTGCCCAATCCAGACAACCTGACCCCGGTCCGTCCGTCTGTGTCTCTTCACGTGTGACCCGTGTGCCAGGTTCTCGGCGCCCTGACCCACTCCGGCTGCCCCCCAAGAATCGACGAATCATCGCGTTCCTGATCGTGACACCCTTTCTCTGGGCGCCGACCTTCCGACACATTGACCCACTGACCGTGACCTCCACCCCCCCCGCCCTCCCTCCCTGCCGACCCCTGTGCCGCAGGCGCCCTGTGGACGTGCGTGGTGCTGAACCCGCACTGCCGCCTGCAGGAGAAGTCCGGCTGGCTGCGGCTGCTGCGGCGCTGGCACGAGGTGGACGTGTGTCCCCTGGAGGACGGTAGCGGCGTCGGCGACCTGCCCAGCGTGTCGCCCTCGCACCACAGCCGAGGTGCGGTCAGCATCGTCAGTCAGTCTGTCCGTCCGTCCGTCTGTCTGTCTGTCTGGACGTTTGTTCGGATGGATATCACTCTTGTCTGTTTTGTCTCGTCTGCACCGTGTCCATCCACCACACTCACCCACTCATCCACCCATTCACTCACCCACCCACTCACTCCCTTAAACACTCAACAACAACAACCGCCATTCGCCACTAAGTTGCGGTCACGTCACCACGGCGCTTGTGCCAGGCTATGTGCACTTTAAGACCGCGTGAAATGTTGAACGCCGACTGGCAGGAGGTCACGGGACAGACCCAGGTGCCATGGGTTGACTGACTGACTCACTTAACCACTCGCTCACCCACTCACTCACCTACCCACTTACCTCCTCGCTCAGTAACTCACCACACTGGAGGTCACAACAGTTGTCTTTCGTCTTCTTCCCTCTGATCCGCTTTGGAATTCCCTCCTCCCAGCCTCTTCCTTTTTTTTTCCAAATTTCCATAACCTTGCTCAGTTCAAGAAACGTGGAATACATCATATAGATTCAAATTCAATGGTGCTGTTGGTTGCTTGGCATTTGGCCGTTTTCAACTTTTGTGCTGATAGTCACTGACCCTGATTTAAAAACCAAAAGAAAGATCTATCCACTGCTGGATGAAGCCCTCAGCTCGACTTTTCCCGGCATCTCATCAGCGACGTGACGCATTACGAGACAGTCATCGGTGAAACTTTGCTGTTTGCGCTGACCCCTTGACCTCTTGATGACCTCTTGACCCTTCGCCCCCCTCCCCCCCTGCGCAGACCCCTTGTCCAGGGGCCGGAGGACAGTGTTCTCGCGAGCGGTGGACGCGTGCGGCCTGCACTGGCAGGACGGCCACCTCCAGCGCATCCTGGGCAACCCCGGCTACCACGGCAACTGTCGCCACGCCGACGACCCTCTCTTTGACCCCCGAGGGCGACCCCTGTGGAACGGTGAGGCGGCGGTCCTGCTCGCCGACTGTTGAATGGGATTTTTAGTCGGTGCTGTCATCTCCCTGCCCCAGACTTGATACCTTCCTCCTCTCCTCTGCCTAAGACCCAGAGACTCACACAAACCCCTAGACTCTCATAGAGACCTGTAGACTCTCATAGAGACCTGTAGACTCTCATAGAGACCTGTAGACTCTCATAGAGACCTGTAAACTCACACAGAGACCCGTAGACTCACACACACCCCTAGACCTTCATAGAGACTTGTTGACTCACACAGAGACCCGTATACTCACACACACCCTAGACTCTCAGAGAGACCCGTAGACTCACACAGACCCCTAGACTCTCATAGAGACCTGGACTCAACCGGACCCGTGGCATCACACAGACCCGTCATAGAGACTTGTTGACTCACACAGAGACCCGTATACTCACACACACCCCTAGACTCTCAGAGAGACCCGTAGACTCACACAGACCCCTAGACTCTCATAGAGACCTGCTGACTCACACAGAGACCCGTGGCCTCACACAGACCCCTAGACTCTCATAGAGACCTGTTGACTTACACAGACCCGTAGACTCACACAGAGACCTATGATTTACTGTCTATAAAACTGCCTCTCTATGACTTCAGATGCTGTCACATGTCCACAGTGTACAAGTCCACACAGCGTTCTGTCATCACTTTAACCCGTCACCCTCCCCCGTGTTCCCTTGTCACCCCCCTGTGTCTCCCCATCACCCTCCCGTGTTGCCCCCCCCCCCCCACCTTGTCTCTCCATGTCCCCTCCACCCCACCCCCGCGGAGTAGAGCACGTGCCCACGGCGTGTGCCCGCGTGGACGCGCTGCGCTCGCACGGCTACCCTAAGGAGGCGCTGCGTCTCGCCGTCGCCATCGTCAGCACGCTGCGCTTGCAGCAGCAGCGCCAGCACAAGCTGTACAGGCGGCAGGAGAAAGGTGAGGCCTGCCCGCTGGCGTGTACACACGCGGCAGCGGCAGTAGCGGCAGCAATAGCAGCAGCAGCAGCAGTTACAGCAGCAGTAACAGCAGTAACAGCAGCAACGGTAACAACGACAGCAGCAGCAACATCAGCAGCAGTAGCAGCAGTAACAGCAACAACGGTAACAACAACAACAGTAGCAGCAACATCAGCAGCAGTAGCAGCAGTTACAGCAGCAGTAACAGCAGCAATGGTAACAACAACAACAGTAGCAGCAACATCAGCAGCAGTAGCAGCAGCAACATCAGCAGCAGTAACAGCAGCAACGGTAACAACAACAACAGTAGCAGCAACATCAGCAGCAGTAGCAGCAGTTACAGCAGCAGTAACAGCAGCAACGGTAACAACAACAACAACAGTAGCCACAACATCAGCAGCAGTAGCAGCAGCAACATCAGCAGCAGTAACAGTAGCAGCAACGGTAACAACAGCAGCAGGAGCAGCAGCAGCAGCAACGACAGCCACCGTCCGGCCACTGATAAATGGATTTAGATTATGTTACTTGGCTTCTGCTATAAATTTCCACATTATAAACCACTTTGTTGAGCTATCATCTTTGGCCAGGTCGCGTCTGAAAAATAAGCTAATAGCTCAGTGAGCTTTACCTGGTAAAACATATTTTAGTTGTGTTTGTGTGTCTTTTTAGTTTGCCTTTCCTATACTTTGCACTGCTAGCTTACTTTTGTACTGTTTGTTGTAACGTTCTGACCTGCCCCGACTGGACATGTGTGAAAAAGAGCTTTATAAATTTCGATTTAAAGCTTTCGTGACTGCAGGGATTCATCTTCTTGGTTCTTTCAGTAAAGTCACGTAGAAGACTTCTATGTGACTTTACCGAAAGAACCAAGAAGAAGAGCTTTATAGCTCATCGGATTCCTCCTCCATTATAAATAAATATTCTGATTCTGAGTGGCGGTGACATCACCTCGCGATCGCGCCACGCCCCACCAACCCCGCCCGCCGCTCCCTCCCCGCAGAGATCCTGCAGAAGGGCACTACGTCGGTGACGAGCGTGGAGGGGTGGGTGGGACACCCCCTTGATCCCATCGGCTGCCTCTTCACCACGCTCACCGAGGGAGCCGTTGGCTCGTCGCACAGCAGCGCGTCCAAGACGAGCGGTCAGCGCCGCCCCCCCCCCCCCACCTCGTGCTCCCCCTTCATCACCCCACCCAACCCCCATGCCATTCCTACCCCGCGCCAGTCGCAGCGCCACAAGGGGACAGCCACCGCTTCATCGCCACCACCGTCACCGCTGCCACCACCGTCAGCGCCGTTGCTGCCAACACCGCCATCATCACCGCCACCACCACCATTACTAACACCGCCACCACCATTTCACCAACACTTAACAGACTTTTGGAGGGAAGTGCTTTCAACGAGCACCTGTGAAGGCCGGAATGGCCCACCAAGGGTTGAGTGGCCAGGGCCACTCTTTACACACCGCACCAGGTACTCATTTTGAGGCTGGGTCCGACCGAGAGGAAGCCCAGGACCAGTTCAGATATGCGTCACTGGTGTTGGCCACGAGCACGGATCGAACTCGGGCGGACGGGTTCGTAGCGTTGTGCGCTAACCGCTGAACTATGCACACACACAGACACACCAACAACAACCGCCATTCGGCACTAAGTGGCGGTGACGTCACCACGACGCTTGTGCCAGGCTATGTGCACGTTGAGGCCACGTGAAGTGTCGAATGCCCGCTGGCAGGAGGTCACGGTGCAGACCCAGGTGCCACGGGTCGAGTGACTGAGATGACTGGAACATTCCACGTGGCCACCCTCAGTGTGTTTTTTTTGTTGTTTCTGGAGGAGCCCCGAGGGTAAAGATTAAATCTCCTGGCTCTGCCAAATGTGGTTTGGCCAGGAGACGTCATAGACGCCTGTTCCCCCGGGGCCTCCGGCACAAGCTTATTAATTAGACGCGCACGCATGCACCAGCTTCCTCTCCAAGCGGGATGTCCGTGGCATGTCGCGCGTTGACCAGTGCGGCGTGCGAGCTTCGCTAACCCAGTCACCACCACAACTTTCATTAACACCAAAGATCAAAGATCCCCCGTATAGCCTTAACAGACTGTAGGGGCAAGTGCTGTTAGCGAGCACCTATGAAGGCCGGAACAGGTACACGAGGGGGTGGGTGGCCAGCACCACGCCCGACCGCCTTTGTCTCCCCAGTGGCGATGTTTACACACCGCACCAGGTACTCATTTAAGGCTGAGTCGACCTAGGGGAGGCCAGGACCGGTTCAGATAAAAGTCACTGGTGTTAGCCGTGAGCGGGAATCGAACCCGGGTCGCCAGGTTCATAGCGCAGCGCGTTAACCGCTACACTACCGCTCCCCACTCATTAACACCACCACCATTGTCACCAACACTGTCACAACCACCGACACTGCCGCTGCCGCCTAAATTCCATCTACGATGCCTCCATCTGTATATCTGACGTTTGATGGTCACATGACATAATTTATTCAGACTCAAGATAATGACTGCGACGACGATGACGATCACGACGATGATAATCGCACCCCCCATGCCTCCATCCGCGCGCAATGTCTCACAACCGGACGCACGTGGCGGAGACCTCGAACCCCAGACAGGCGACAGGCGACAGACGCCGACCGGCGACGCCAATGATCACGCCCGCCCCTCCGTCCGTCCTGTCCGCAGACCCCCTGGGTGGGGACCCCAAGGGGATCGACGGCCTGCACGGCGGGGACCCCTCGGAGCCTGCGTGCCCCTGGGAGGGGGTGAGCGGATTCTTCGGCCCCCCACCGCCCTCCTTCAGGGCCCGTCCCTGCCGCTGTCGGCCGCCGCGGCCGCGGGCTCGGACGCGTGGCCCTGGTGGGAGGGCGTGGGCGGCGTGTCGCCCGACTCGTGCCTCGCGCTGGCCGTCGAGGTCGCCCTGCTCGGCCTCGGCCAGCAGAGGACGATGCCCGAGGGCCTCTACGCCCAGGAGAAGGTGGGGCCCTGCCGCCGCCGCCGCTGCCGCCGCTGCTGCCGCTTCTGCTGCTGCCGCTTCTGCTGCCACCCTTCTCATCCGCCTGCTGCTGCCCTCTGCTACTGCCCTCCTGTGTCTCTTGCTTACTCCACTCCTCTTCTTGGTTCTTTCGGTAAAGTCACGTAGAAGGGAAATAATAAAATAATAAAAATAAAACATAGTAAATAATTCTCACGACGTTTTGGCCACAACGCAAGCAGCCGTCCTCAGGTGAAGAACAGGTCTGTCGGGAAGACAGCGTCTATTTCAGCCCCCCTCCAGTGTCTTAAGCTGTACCCCCTGTGTCTCCTTACCCCATTCAGTATATCCTGCTGTCTATTGTTGGCCCACCCCCACTGCCCTCCTCTTGGGTCTATTGCTGACCTCCTGCATCTACTGCTGCTGCTGCCCTCTGCTACTGCCCTCCTGTGTCTCTTGCTTACCCCACTCCTAAATTTCGATTTAAAGCTTTCGACTCTAAGCCTGGTGGTGTTTCATTTAGACGCTGTCTTCCCGACAGACCTGTTCTTCACCTGAGGACGGCTGCTTGCGTTGTGGCCGAAACGTCGTGAGAATTATTTTATGATGTTTTTATTTTTATTATTTTATTATTTCCCTTCTACGTGACTTTACCGAAAGAACCAAGAAGATGTACCCCACTCCTATGTCTATTTCAGCCCCCCTCCCGTGTCTTAGGCTGTACCCCCTGTGTCTCTTACCCCCCTTCAGTATCTCCTGCTGTCTCTTGTTGGCCCACCCCCACTGCCCTCCTCTTGGGTCTATTGCTGACCTCCTGCATCTACCGCTGCTGCCCCGTGACTCCTGGTTGCTCGGTGTTCTTTCCGGCAGTGTGTCTCTGCCGCAGAGTGTAGCGATGAACGGCGAGGTGTAGGTTATGAGCGCGTGTGTGTTGAGAGACCCTGACCCTTCGGAGAATAGTTTTCTGTTACTTGGTGGCCGCGTGTGATGATTGGCTTTCCGGACAGACTGAAATATGTTTTTGAAACCTGGCGACAGCTCAGCGAGAGTGGTAGTCGGTCACTGCTCATGGAGTCTCGTTCACCGCTCACTCGCGTACCAACCCCGACATCACAGCTCCAGCCGAATGACCCTTGAACTACCGCCCCTGACATCACAGCTCCAGCCGAATGACCCTTGAACTACCGCCCCTGACATCACAGCTCCAGCCGAATGACCCTTGAACTACCAACCCCGACATCACAGCTCCTGCCTGACGACCCTTGAACTACCGCCCCTGACATCACAGCTCCAGCCGAATGACCCTTGAACTACCGCCCCTGACATCACAGCTCCAGCCGAATGACCCTTGAACTACCAACCCCGATATCACAGCTCCAGCCGAATGACCCTTGAACTACCGCCCCTGACATCACAGCTCCAAGCCTGACGACCCTTGAACCTACGCCAACGTTCATATCTTACAAGATTGCCGACCCTTGCAATTCCCGCCCCTGGCCTAGGACTCGTAGTTTGCCGACCGCTCACCTCACCGCTTCCCCTGACCCCGTGCAGGTGGGGCGGCAGGAGGAGCAGTTGCTGGCTCGACTGGGCGACCTGCAGCTCACGCCGGCGCTCATCGGCGTGCTGCGCCGCCAGGCCACGCTGCTGCTGCAGGGTTCGTGCTGCCCACAGACACGGACCTCGTCCCACGGAGCGATGATGACGACAACGTCATTGTTGATGATGTTGATTGTTCGACGACGACGACGGCAAAGATGTCAGCAGTGTTGATGATATTGCTGGCAATGATGGTGCCGACGATGATTATGCCGACGTCGGTGATGATGATCATGAGTGATGAGAGTGTTGCCAACGATGACGATGCCCCGTGGTAATGGCAGCGATCGTGACAGGGATGACAATGATGTCAGTGACCACCTCCGTACGATTACAATATCTATTGTGCTGTCAGTAACGACGACAGCGACTGATAACAACGACAACGATGATATTGTCCACGACCATGTCGGAAACCGACGACGCTGACGATGACGTTTTGGCGACGCCCGCGCGCGCGAGCAGGGGGCCCGTACAGCGGGCTGGGCTGAGGTGGTGCACCGCGAGAGCGTGCCCATGCACACCTTCGCCAAGTTCCTCTTCACCGCGCTGCTGCCGCACGACTCGGAGCTCACCTACCGCGTCGCCCTGCGCGCCATGCGGTGAGATGCCGCCGGGAACGTCGGCAAAATTCGCCGTCGAACGCAGCGACCGCCGACAGCGCCAAAACATTGCCACAAGCGTGAAAACACAATCGCCGCTGACATCGACACCATCACCGCAAACGTCATCACCATCACTGCCACTAGTAACATTGCCACCATCACGACTATTACCAACATTCGCATCACCACTACCACCATCATCATCACCACCACCACCACCGCCGTCACCGCCAACATCATCACCACCACCACTGCCGTCACCGCCAACGTCGTCATCGCCACCACGATCACCGCGGTGACGCTGTGGCGCTGCCCCCTCAGGCTGCCGGTGCTGGAGTCGTCGGCGGGCCCCGGCGAGGCGTCTCACCCGTACCACATCCCTTCGGTGGTGCCCAACCGCTACCCGCGCTGGTTCACGCTGGCGCACATCGAGTCGCAGCAGTGCGAGCTCGCCTCCACCATGCTCACCGCCGCCAAGGGTACGGCACCCACGCAGCACCGGCGCACCGGCGCAGCCGCCGGTATGGCATGCGCCGCATGCGCCGCATGTGCGTTGAACTTCTTTCGCCGTGCGGATCAGAGGTGCGGGGGGGAAGGGACAACGAACTAACACAAAAGCAGTTCGAAGGAAATTCGTTTTTAATGGAGATTTACTGGGGCACGATACACCCTCGCAATGCTACGCCACACACTGGCGCAGTGCGCCAGCCCGCGGTGCCACCCGCTCTCCGCAGCTCAAATTCACGCGCTCACGCGGACGCACGCACACATACACACACACAAAGACAAAGATCCCCCATATAGCCTTTACACACTGTAGGGGCAAGTGCTCTTAGCGAGCACCTCTGAAGGCCGGCACGGCACACGAGGGGGTGGGTGTCCAGCACCACGCCCGACCGCCTTTGTCTCCCTGGTGAAAATGTTGACAGTACCAGGTACTCATTTTAGGCTGAGTCGACCTAGGGGAGAGGCTCAGGCCCGATTCAGATAATCGTCACCGGTGTTGGCCGTGAGCAGGAATCAAACTCGAGATGCCGGGTTCGTAGCGCAGCGCGCTCACCGCTGAACCATGCACACACACAGACGCACGCACGCACAGACGCATGCACACACACAGACGCACGCACGCACCAGCTTCCTCTCCAAGTGGGACGGCCGCGGCATGTTGCGCGTTGACTGGTGCATCGTGTGAGCTCGCGGATTACGCTCCAGTCCTAGTGGTTTGGGGGGACTGGTGGGGGGGGGGGAGGCGGGGGGGGGCACCTTTCGTCACGTGGTTTTTTTTCCCCTTTTGCAGCTGTTGGCACGTGGGTTTTTTGTATCGCGTGATTCGGAAGCCACTCGTCCACTTTCACCGCCCGGCAGACCGGCATTTTTGGCGGAACCCGGATGCTTGCACGCACGCACATGCGCTGACGCACGCTCTCGCACACACACGCACGCTCACGCACACACACGTGCTAACGCACGCTCTCGCACACACACACACGCTCTCGCACACACACGCACGCTCTCGCACACACACGCACGCTCTCGCACACACACGCAAGCTCTCGCACCCGCACGCACGCTCTCGCACACACACGCACGCTCTCGCACACACACGCACGCTCTCGCACACACACGCACGCTCTCGCACACACACGTACGCTCTCGCACACACACACACGCTCACGCACACACACGTGCTAACGCACGCTCGCACACACACACACGCTCTCGCACACACATGCACGCTCTCGCACACACACGCACGCTCTCGCACACACACGTACGCTCTCGCACACACACACACGCTCACGCACACACACGTGCTAACGCACGCTCGCACACACACACACGCTCTCGCACACACATGCACGCTCTCGCACACACACGCACGCTCTCGCACACACACGCACGCTCTCGCACACACACGCACGCTCTCGCACACACGCACGCTCTCGCACACACGCTCTTGCACACACGCGCTGACGCACGCTCTCGCACACACAAGCACGCTCTAACGCAAGCACGCACTCAGTTTGGCAATCGCTTTTACGAGACGCGTTCCATGCATTTGGGTTGGTTCGTTGTCCTTGGTTTTGTTATTTTTCCACTTCGTTTGCTCCCTTCCCGATTTCCTTTTGGCGACAGCGGCACGGAGGGTGGGGGGGGGGGCCTTCATCCAGCAGTGGATAAGATAGTCTATTCCACTCTCGCGCAGGATGATGACAGCGGCGGCAATGTGCCCACGAGCTGAGACGCCAGTGATGTCTGCTAGCCACGAGAGGGCTTGCGGAGAGTTTGTCTAGCTCGGGGGTCGGCAACCTCTCAGAGAAGCAGTAGAGCCATTTGTTTTTGTCTTTGACCAATCTCGTTATGAGAGCCGCATCGCACGCGGCAAGGGCTACTTGTACACAAAACACCGCTGGTATACGGCGGACGACGAACGCAATCTGACTTGAATCAACAAAGCAGGTGATGGAATAAACTGCGTCGATTTAGTCCCCCCCCCCCCCCCCCCCCGCTTCAGTTAATCTTTAAGAATAACAGTTCGACTGTTGTCGATTTTGTCGTCGCCAAAGACATCCACAGTAACCCCGTTCCCTGCCATATTTAATCGATTAGCTTTACGTTAAATTACGTTTAAGGTTTATTTTTATCTTTTTTTTTTATTCAGCGGCTGCCGGCAAAGAGGGCATCCAAAGAGCTGCAAGGGGGGGGGGGCAGCCAAAGAGCGCAAGGGGGGGGGGCAGCCAAAGAGCCCCAAGGGGGGGGCAGCCAAAGAGCCCCAAGGGGGGGGGGCAGCCAAAGAGCCCCAAGGGGGGGGCAGCCAAAGAGCCCCAAGGGGGGGGACAGCCAAAGAGCGCAAGGGGGGGGGGCAGCCAAAGAGCCCCAAGGGGGGGGCAGCCAAAGAGCCCCAAGGGGGGGGCAGCCAAAGAGCCCCAAGGGGGGGGGCGGCCAAAGAGCCCCAGGGGGGGGGGCGGCCGAAGAGCCCCAAGGGGGGGGCATCCAAAGAGCCCCAAAGGGGGGGCAGCCAAAGAGCGCAAGGGGGGGGAGGGCAGCTAAACATCCACAATGTTGCCTCCGGAGCTGCAGGTTTGCCGACCCCTGAAACTCGTTTTTGCCCTTCGCATTTCACCACCTCTTCTTTCCCCCCCTCCTTCCTCTGCTCGTCTCCTCGCCCGCCGCAGGGGACGTGATTAGACTGCGGGCCGTGCTGGACTCCATACAGAAGCACGTGCACTCGTCGTCCCACCTCTTCAAGCTGGCCCAGGACGCGTTCAAGATCGGAACTCCGGCCGACGGGCTGCCCGACATCACGCTGCTCAACGTGGCACTCGAACTGGGCCTACAGGTCTCGCCCATCACCCCCGTGACCCACCAACCCCGTCACCCCCTCCGCCCCCACACAGCTTTGTTGAGCTATCGTTTGTGGCCAGGTCGCTTCTGAATATGAAGCTAACAGCTCAGTGGGCCTTACCTGGTAAAATAATTTTTTATAGTTTACAAACGCGACTTCCGTGGGCAAGTCACAGAGGCAGAGGCAGACAGAGCGCAAATAGGTGGCTAAATTATCACGAAAATTGTCACACGAACCTAAGGGGTAAATGCGCAGCCCTGCGATTACCTGGTAAAATTAAAATAAAAAATTTGGAAAACTCTCCGGTATGCGACCGTCGTCATCCAGAACCGACAGTACAACATATATAACGACGCAATGCCCCGATCGGCAAATACTAAGGAGACATCACGGCGATGATCGACTCCGCTGCTACTGACGGGGTTGTCTGGCTTGACCGGCTGAATGTGAAATCGTAATTGTTGCTCTGCGTCTACATCAGCAGCCGCACGAAACAAGAAAATTGTAAAGGCCCTGTCAGGGTCACTTGAGCCTCTTTGATATCGGCGAGTGTCTAAAGCACCCAGCACCCATATATGGTCACAGCGTAAAATCAAAAGCCAAGGCACAGTAGTGCGATTGTGGACATACAAGCCAATCTATAGACCATATCGTGAACGCATGGAGATACATAGAGACCCATAGAGATACACAGAGATACATTAAAGCCAAGGCACGGCGGGTGCGACTGTGGCCATGCAAACTCGTGAGTCGCCCGTGACGCAGGGATTGCCACGCCGCGTGTGCGCAGGTGATGCGGATGACGCTGTCCACGCTGAACTGGCGCCGGAGGGAGATGGTGCGATGGCTCGTGACTTGCGCCACGGAAGTCGGTGAGTTTTGTGCCGTCGCCGGTTCTGCCCCCCCCCCCCACCTCGTCCTTCGCCAAACCCGTTTGCGAATCATTGTTGTCGCCGCCTCCATGTCATCACCGTGATCTACCCGGTGCTGGGATGAAGGCCTCCCCCCCAAGCCGTCGTTTCCCATCGCTGGGACTCGCTTAGAGAGTTTCCCCGCTTGGCGAGCTCGCTCCGCTGGCTGCTTCGCCTTCACGGGGCAGGTAGCAGCGGCCACCCGAGTTCCATTTCCCGTTAGTGGCGGAGTGACATCCAGGCCGGTTCTGGGCCGCTGTGTGTCACCGATTCACAACGGAGCAGCCTGGGTGAAGGTAACGATCAGACAATGACCCCCCACCCCCCCCCCCCCCGACTCGCACGCCTTGTGGAGGCCCCTCGTCCATCAGTGGATTGACTAAGGGCTGTAAATTATTACGATGACTACACTGTCATTGTACAGCGATGATGGACGGGTGACTAACGACAGCGATGATGATGATGCCGGATAATGGCGACGGTGACGACGATGATGCACAGTTGGGGCGCTGAGTTCGCGAGGTCAGCCGGCACGACGATGATGCCGGCGGTGTGGCCGGAGCCTCTTACGCCCGGCCGCCTTTGTCTCCCCTGTGCTGATGTTCTTCCCTATCCCTCTTCGCTCTCTCTCTGTCACCGGTGGGGGGGGGGGTGGTGCAGGCGTGTGCGCGCTGGTGAGCATCATGCAGAGCTGGTACACCCTCTTCACCCCGACGGAGGCCACCAGCCTGGTGGCCACCAGCGTGCTGTCGCCGCCCACGGCGCTGCGCCTCAGCCTGGACTACGGGCAGCGCGAGGAGCTGGCGCAGTGCGCCCGCACGCTGGCGCTGCAGTGCGCCATGAAGGACCCGCAGAGTTGCGCGCTCTCCGCGCTCACGCTGTGCGAGAAGGACCCCGTCGCCTTCGAGACCGCCTACCAGATCGTCCTCGACGCCGCCAGCGCCGGCTCCGTGGGCGGCGGCGGCGGCATCGGCATCGGCGTGGGGATCGGCGGCGGCGCCGGCGGCGGCGGCGGCTCCGGCATGGGCCACGCGCAGCTCTTTACGGTGGCGCGCTACATGGAGCACCGCGGGTACCCGCTGCGCGCCTACAAGCTCGCCAGCCTCGCCATGGCGCAGCTGAGCCTGGCGTACAACCAGGACACGCACCCGGCCATCAACGACGTGCTGTGGGCCTGCGCGCTCAGCCACTCGCTGGGCAAGCAGGAGCTCGCCGCCATGATCCCGCTCGTGGTCAAGGGCGTGCAGTGCGCCACCGTGCTCTCCGACATCCTGCGCCGCTGCGCCGCCAGCCTCCCGGGCTTGCCCTCGCCGGGAGGCCTCGGCGCCGCCATGCGGGGGCGGGCAGCGGCCGCGGCGGCCGCCGCGGCAGCCGCGGCCGCCGCTTCGGCCGCGGGGAAGTCCGGGGGCGGCGGGGCGGGCGGGGGCGGCGCTTCGGCGTCGTCGACGGCGGCCGCGGCGGCGTCGGTGGCGGCCGCGGCGGCGGCGGACAAGGGCGGCCCGCTGCGGCAGCTGCTGGACGCGACGCTGGCGGCGTACGTGAGCACGGCGCACTCGCGGCTCACGCACATCTCGCCGCGCCACTACGGGGAGTTCGTCGAGTTCCTGGGCAAGGCGCGGGAGGCGTTCCTGCTGGCGCCCGACGGCCACGCGCAGTTTGCGCAGTTCCTCGACGGCCTCAAACAGACGTACAAGGGCAAGAAGAAGCTCATGCTGCTGGTGCGCGAGCGCTTCGGCTGACGCCGGCGTTTGGCGTCGATTGGCGGCGATCGGCGGCAGCCGGGTTCCTTCCTTGACCCCTCGGCCCCCCCCCTCTGCCGTGTCGGAGCGGCCGGGGGGCGACGTCCGTGCTGCGAGGAGGAGGGCGATGATCGTGCGTGTGGGACGACCTGAAGACTCACTGTTTACATGTACAGATCAATGATGACGCACCGGCGAAGGTGTTTGGCGGAGCAACTCTGAAGCCTATACATATATATAAATGTTATATATACCCCCACACGTAGCTTGCACGCTCCGGTAAAGTATTTTTTACTTTTCGTTCATGTTTTTTGTTGTTGTTGGTTGCCGTTCTCTCCCGGGACACGGCGAAACAAACTCGACGGCGTCAACGCTGACGTCGACGCCACCGTCGCCGTAACGACGGTCCACCGCCGTTACCTCTTCTTGGTTTTTGTGTTTCCGCCGTCGCGTTTTGTCCACGTTATTTTTGTTCTTCCTTCCTCCCCTCTGGCACTGGAATCACGTGCCGACACGGGGGGCCCAGGCGACATTCCTGATTTCCGAGCGCAAGTCCGGACCCCTCCGATGATGACGACGGCCACGACGGCAGCGGTGGGCGCCGATCACCGTACCGCGCTCGCTCGTTTGGCTCGCCCGCCCGCCTGCTCAACGTGCGCGAGGATTTGGAGCAAACGGTGCGGCCCTAACCGGACCAGGCCTCTTGGCGTATAAATCGCGAGGCAGCGGAATCGTTTTGAAAAAAAAAAAGCGTGACGAAACGAACGTACGAACTCAAAAAACGAAACCCCGCCTCCCCCCACCCGTCCTCCTACCTGCATAGGATGCAAACCTTAACCACGCTGCTTTGTTTACAAGTGCAGGTGTGTGTCGTGACTTCACAGCGGATTGTTAACCGTCCGTCGCTCTCCTTACGCTCCGGTTCAAAATCGCGACGTCGCACACCACTGAGAGAGAGAGAAGCACCGCGGGAACACGAGAGAGAGAGCGGCGCGCGCGTGGCTACCGCCGCTCCACAGTCGTGGCGGTACCGCACCACGACAACGACGATGACGATGGTGGTGACGCGGCGTTACCCCACCGCGATGACGTGCGGCGATGACGCCGATGATGGTGGCAAGGCGCCGAGCGTAGATCATAGGAAACACTACTAGGCGATCCATTTCTAGACACCCCGCTGATTTCCTTTTCATGGAACCCCCCCCCCCCTGACTTTATTTGCGACGGATATCATGGAAGCGAGATGGTTCCGCATCATTGGGGGGAGGGCGGGCGAGCGTCGGGAGATTTCTGGCAAGCGGATATTGAGGTTCGGTGGGAGACGCGTCGAGCCCTTCGAGCGAGGGTGACGGTTTACCCGTTCGGCGTCTCCCGATTTGCGTCGGCGGGGTAGCTGTAAATGGATCGCTCCGCGTGAATGATTCGGGCGCGGTAACGGTCCGCGGAAACACAGTATTTGAATGATGTTGATGAACGCGACGACGACGACGATGACGACAATAATGATGACGACCCTCGGCCGGTGACTCCGACGGACGGTGACTCAAACCGCAAAGATAATTCTGATCTTTTCGAAATCTCAGAGGACTGTGGAGTTGAAACTCCGTCGCTCGGTAGCGCTCGCCACTCTACTTCCACTTCGCCCGGAGTCGCTCGGCCCCGTCGCTTTTTGGAGGTCGCGAGTTCAATCACCCCCTACCCTCCCCCAACTCGGCCCATCATGACTCGCTTGGGTCAATGAAATAAAGAACCGCCCTGTGCGGGAAGTCGACAGCGATTGGTTTTTGGATATACGGGCCCCCGGCCATGGGAATGTGGAATTTCCAGCGTTGATTTTCCCTCCCCTCTCCCGGGGAGGCCGCCGCCAAAGACGAAAACGACGCTTTTGACCTTTCACCTTTTCACGCGGGCACTGGGCTCTGCTCGAGAGGGAGTGAGAATCGTTCCGCCAAATTCTGACCACGACCCCCACCCCTCCCCCTCCCACCCGACTCCGCAGAGAGGACCAAGCCGATGGTCGCTCGGCCTTTCGTCCGTGCCGTCATCTTCATTACGTTCTACTCGTCTCCTTCGCCGCTGCTTTTCATAATTTATCGTTCTTATCGTCGTCACGCACCACGATTGTTGCTGCTGCTGCTGCTGCTGCCACCACGAGCATCTCTCTCAACTCTCCGCGGGTGTCACACGTTGCTCCTCCCTTCGCTGTGTACGTCCCGAACCCCGTTTCATCGTTTCCTTACTTTCTTTACCACCGCATCGTTCCTCTTCGTCTGCCTTCGTAGATACTTTCGCGATTATCGTTAACAAGTTTTTCTTTTGTGCGTTGCGCGTTCGGCTCTTTCAAAACCGACCGCCGGCGTTCGCGTGCCTGTCCAACGCTTCACCCTCGTCGTTTAAACTTCGTCCACCTCGATCTGCCTCCCCCCCCCCCCCCCCCCACCTCGTCATTCCTCCTGTCCGCCTCCGCGTCTTCTCACTTGTCGTTTTGTGAACTTCCGCGCGCGAACACGCTTTATGCCCCCCCCACCTCAGCCCGCAGCACTGGGACTCGCGAAGATACAAGGGGGATCTCCCATGGTCTCCTCCGCAGAAGTTCTCTCTGCCTCGTCGCTATTTTGTCCCGCGACAGAGAAGCGACCTTCGTTTCATCCGCGCTGCTCCCTCGTTCCGTTCGGCGGTCCAGCGTCCGCATCGCAAACGCGTCCGGCCGCGAACCTCTCTCGCTCGCCCTCGTTCCTGTTTACCTCCCGGGGCGGGGGGGGGGCAGGGGTGTGGGGGGTAGTAGGAGCCCCCCCAGCCCCCCCCCCCTCCCCACCACCACTCACCCTCGTTCGCCGGCACAAGTCTCCGCGGGCGTTGCGTGGCGTTCGCGTCGAAGATCCCTCTCCACGGGGCACAGCGAGCGAGCGCCATGGGGTCGTGACCGACGGCGCGGTCGATTGATCGACTTTATAACACAAACCAAAATGTGCGTGCGTCAGCGGCGACGGTGATGATGATGATTATGACGACGATGACGACGATGATGATGATGATGATGATTTAATAAGCAAAATACCTCCTGTTAACATTATAGAAGGCTTTAAAAAGAAAAGAGAATGATTCCTATCTCCATTTGCCTGACTTGAAGCTTACAGCAGCAATGCGTAACAAACAAAAGTAAGATATGTTACCTCCCGGAGAGATGGCGTACGACGGTGATGCGTGTGCCACGGCGCCGGACAACAACAACAACATATATAGAGAAAAAAACTAAAAAAAACCCCAGAAATATCGGTCACACGCGCAAAGTTGTAATCTTTGAACGGTGATTAACGCAAAAAAGAAAACGGCGAAAAACTAACAAAAAAAAAAACACGAAAAAAACTGTCGGAAAAAAAAATACAAAAAACACTCACAAAAATGTAATCTTCAAATCTAAACGACAACGCACGCGACACCACGAACCGTTATAACACACCAAGTAGGGCGGTCATTGAGAATGTACACTCTCAGGGAAAACCAGTGTGCATAATGTGCATTACCATATACTGTATATATATAACCCTAGGAAGCTGATACACGTAAAAAAAAAACAATTAAAGGTTTGAAGTAATTAATGTAAAAAGTATATTAATTTATAATAAAGAGAATAACATACTTGAATCTGTTGGGGGCTGGGCACATGGCACATATCAGAATGACTACAGTTCTGTCGGGTTTCTGGGTGGGGGTGGGGGGCACTGTTAGGGTTAGCAGGATTTTAGGATTTAATTTGGGGGTTGGGGGGGCGTCTCCTAATTGGGGTTCAGTTTATCGAGAGGGGGGCAAGGCGGGGTTGGTGGGGGGTCGGTTGTGGGGTGTGGCCGACTTGTTCAATTATCTCTGTGCCCCCCCTCTCCCTCCTCTGCCCCCCCCCCCATTCTCTACCCCCCCCCCCTCTCCTTGTCTTGTCGAATACGGCAGTAGAAGCAAGTCAGCCAATTATTAAAAAGCCAGAAGATGTAACTATGCAGAATAATTATGATTGGCTGCCATGGGGGGGCGGGGGGCTTTAGGAACGTTGAGCCGGTTATGTGCGCGGCAATTGGGGGGGGGGGGCACGGTGGTGCCGGAGACGTCGTGGGCACGTCCGTAGGAACGTCGTGGGGACGTCGTGGGGACGTCGTGGGCACGTCGTGGGCACGCTGCGAGCGTGTCAACTTGTATTTATGATCGGCCCGCTTCCGAGAGAAAGGCGGCGGGACCTGTAAATTAGAATTGTGACTTTAAAAAAATGAAATGAAATGATAATGATGGTAACACATGGGATTATGACGAAGGACACGAAAAAAAAACCACCGTGAGAAAATAATGAAAGTAATTATCATGATTACGTCCTGTGTCTCTCGTCGTCGCAGGTTGGAGATTTCTCCGCGTCTTTGTTTCCCCCCCCACCACCCCCCTCTACGTCTTTTGTTTAAATTGTGTTCCTCAGTGTGTTTGTTTGTAATCGCGTGGCATCTTGTATCCAGGTGTGTGTGGGGGACGTTGATCGCACAGACTGTTACACAGCCTCTACAGTACAGTATTGTCCTTCGTAAAAAAAAACGGAACCGAGACCCTGGGGGTAGTTGGGTACTCGACTCCGACTCCTCGGACACGAAAGTCTGTCCCGCATCGCGACGCCAAGCCCCAGCCACACGCCTCGCTCACGGTGATTGTTGTGATGATGATGATATTATAACGTTTAATTTTCATTTCCTCGTTCCAAATAATAATCTGACAACCTCAATGCCGCGGCCGGTTTTATACGTCGGGAGTGATTTTATTTTTCACGATCGTTTGCGGTGGGGGGGGGGGGGCGGCGGCGGGGCTGAAATTTATTTTTATTTTTTGCGTGTGAAGATATTAAGCAGACGAAGTTGACTATAAGTAAATAAGAGAACGCAAGAGACGCGTCGTGCGAGTTACGCGTTTGACGCCTTCGACCTCTGGATTTATTTTCGTGGCAAAGCTCGCTCGCCCCCCCCCCCCTGCCAGCCACAACCACCACCACCAACCCCACGTCTGCATTGCGTTTCAAGACGAGCCTCCGTAGGCAGCGTCTGTCGATTCCGTTTCTGTGATTTTTGTGAAAACCGCAGTGGTTCCACTCCAGAATCCACGTGGAACCCCCTTCCCCCCCCCACTGCCCATGCCCCTCTCTCAGCCTGAACAACACCGTCTGATGAGGCGCGCTGGAGAACAACGTTTGCGCCATCGGTGCTCGGCCAATCACCATCCAGGACGAGAAGAGTAAGGAGACCCCAGCTGTGCTGCTGAACTCACGAAGGGGCTAAACCACGACCTTTGACCCCCCCCCCCCCCCCCCCCCAGTGATCCATCAGCAGTTTTCGTTAAGTGCGGTTTGTTATTTTATTTTCCTTCCCGCAGCTGGACATCACTTGATTGTTTTATTTTTATTTATTTAGTCGTGGGGTAGTTTTTTTTTTTTACAATGCTGTATCGTTCCTTCGCCGCCCCCCCCCCCATTCCTTTCCCCCCTACGCGTTGCAGATTGCACAGAGGCTGCTTTGTGGGCAGCTCCTCTTATAACATTCGGTTCTGGTTGTCAGATTTCAAAATAGGAAAGTGGGAATGGGGGGCACCCCCCACCCCCCTCCCTCCCCCGCCCGCCCCCCCCCTCCCCAACGCCGCATTCTCCCTCCCGGGTTCCTTGAGTTTCATCCCATGATTGCCCGTCTGTTGCCTCATTCGGTGGCATCAGCGGCACAGTGTTTATGATATTTCGTCAACGCAGTGTTGTCATTTTTATTTGACTTGCTTCAGTCGATCTGACTGAAATCCACAGGGGCGCGTCAAACTTGACTGAAATCCCGCAGATTGTCATCGACTGGAACCAGCGGTAACCCAACGTTGTATCTGGACCAAGGCGAAAACCCTCAACTTTTTATTTCATTTTGTGACGGACCACCGCGCGACCGCTGTGTTGCACCAATCGTTTGCGTTTTTTTGTTTGTTCAAAAATGTTAAAACTAACTCCCAACTCGTGACAGCGTCTGCAACGGGGTCCGCAGAGCAGGCACGCCGCACGCGCGGACCGCCAGGGTGGGAGCCACTCCTACAGACTCGGCGACTTCGACTAAATCGGCAACCAATTGCTGTCCAAATTAACGCCGATTCAGGCCACGACTGACTGGACCCTGCTATCGTCAGGGGCTGTCAATTTGAACCCTTTCCCATTCCGATGACGTACACACGTCATCGGAAAGGCACCGGAAGAAAAACTAAAGTAAAATAACTTTTTTCTTCTTGGTTCTTTCGGTAAAGTCACGTAGAAGGGAAATAATAAAATAATAAAAATAAAACATCATACAATAATTCTCACGACGTTTCGGCCACAACTGCTTGCGTTGTGGCTGAAACGTCGTGAGAATTGCTTGCGTTGTGGCCGAAACGTCGTGAGAATTATTGTATTATGTTTTATTTTTATTATTTCCCTTCTACGCGACGTTTCGGCCACAATGCAAGCAGCTGTGGCCGAAACGTCCGTGAGAATTATTTTATTATGTTTTATTTTTGTATTATTTCCCTTCTACGTCACTTTACCGAAAGAACCAAGAAGATGAATCCCTGCAGTCACGAAAGCTTTAAATCGAAATTTAAAATAACTTTATCGGTTAGCGAGGTTCCCACAAGGCCACGCGCGGGAGGGCGTGTGTGGAACAGTTTGGCGCCAGCTATCGTAGGGGAGTGGTCGTGTCGCTACGGTTGTCTGCGGTGAGTGCAGTGTCTTTTTTAGAGAAAAAAAACGGCGCTACGCTTCTCTAAAATAAAATGAACGCTGAACCACTCGCGCGTTCTGAGATTGAGCGGTGAACGATATGCCCACACCCTGTGACTTGCAAACGTCTCGGAACGGGAAAGGGTTGAATAGAAATTTCAAGACTTAAGAGAATTGGGTCAACTCGTTATTTTAAATTTGCTGTACGGTTGGTTGAAATTTGACGGTTATTCATTTCCTACCCCCCCCCCCCCCTCTTCTTCCTTCCCCGCGTTCCTTTCCTCAACGCACGTTTCATTTGTTTTCTTCTCCGGTCTCTCAGCGGTTGCGCCGTTCTATTTGACGCGGGGGCAGCTGGCAAGAGAGTTTGGCGACGTTATCCGTGTTGGACAGAAATTGGCGCGTGCGTGCGTGCGTGCTCGCGCCCTGTATTAAACAGGAAGGGAAGCAAAATTATATAAGGATATATATTACAAAACGATAGTGAATACGAATAATAACGTCAGTGTTTTTTTTATGCTTACCAATTAAGAAGTGGAATTGGGTTGTCGTCTTAATTCTTTGTTTGAAAGTTGTAAAGGGGGAGAGGTTTAAAATGACGCGAGGGTTTGGGAGGGCTGACCAACACGCAGAGCAGCAGCAGCATGGGTTAGGTGATGTTTGTCGCTGTAAGTTGTACAAAATCTGTCTCTCACTTTGTATCTAAAAAAAAAACAAATATGTGTTATTTATTATCATTTTAATTCAATCACGCACTCCCCCCCCCCCGCCTTCCCCTCCCACCGGCCCCCCGCCACTCTGTATAAATGTTCCCCAGAGTAAAACGAGAAAAAAAGTTGAGAAAAAAAAGATCGATAAAAATTCTTAAATGGAGAAAGAAAAAAAAGAACCCCCACATTAAAAAATAACTTAGGAGAAGGAAAGGCGACACTGTGATATTAATTTTATTTATGTAACAGTTACAGTTTTATAAAGTATAAATGTTGTTTAGCCGATTACTGCGGCCATGGTATGGTAAATAAAAAAAAAGTTTGATAATGTATTGCGGTTGTGGATTCTGTGTGTTGTGTTCTCTCTGTATCGTGACCTTTGGGATGGTTCGTGCGTGGATTAAGCCGGTGCACAACGGAGCTTGGGAAAAAACAACTGCTTTGTCCACGGCTTTAGGGGCCGTCCATAAATGACGTCACGCACCTTGGGGTGGGGGGGGTCAGACATTTGTGACGATGTGTGACGAGGGGGGGGGGGGGGAATGTGACGTCACTTAAAAATGCGCAACTTTAAATAAATATAAACACGTTCTACTTGATTAAGTAGACTTTTTAATAAATGTTTTCTGGTACAACATCAAGAGTGCAGCGCCACATTAAATACGCACTACAATGACAATCGTTTAAAGCGATTTGAAGCATGTTTTTTTTTTGGGGGGGGGCAGAGCTTTGTGACGTCATATTTCAGGGGGGGTTCTGACTTTTTGTGACGCCGTGTGACGAGGGGGGGGGTCAAAAATTCGTCCAAAATCGCGTGACGTCATTTATGGACGGCCCCTTAGCGCGTGTTTACGCAAACACGGGAATGAAGGTGCACGATATGTTACGGATCGTGAACAACCAAAATCGCATTTCGCAAAATCGCCGTGGCCCAACCCGGTAAACGTTGAACGCTTGGCCAAAGTTGGCCGGCCAAACGGACCCAACGTTCAGCCAACGTTGAGCCTACGGTTGGCATATTACTGGTAGGAACCTCCTGGTTACACCAGCCCACAGGGGATTATTGTGTCCGTTCTTCCATCGTGCAGGGAGGGGCTGGGTGGGGAGGGGCTGGTCACCCCGTGGTGCCCTTATAAAACTCAACGTTTAACCTACTCACGCCGGCTTGTGCCCGCCCTCACAGTCGGGCATATTTGCGGAATACACCACGCCGCCGTTGACCCTGGCCATTGACCGAGCAACCCAACGTTCCTACCAGCTCCCTCCGCAGGAATGTGTTTCGTGGGAACGTGCCACGGCCAGGGAGTGGCACGTTCCCACTAAATATCCCAACGTTGAGCCAACGTTGGCATATTTAGTGGGAACGTGCCACGGCCAGTGCGTTGGGGGTAGTTGGTGGCCCTCAACGCCCATGGTCGATCCGCCCGCCCGCCTCGCCGAGGTTTGTTGACCTCTGGCGCCGTGACATTTGACCCCCCCCGCTCAACAGAGTGGGGCCGAGTTCGACCTCGCGACGAGGTGTCGGGTCTCCTGTGTGCAGCAAAGCCTGGAAGGGTGGAGGTGGGACCGTGGTGGGAGGCGCAGATTACTGCCACAACGAACCTGGCGAGCAGAGCTCCGAGTCCCCGCTCGCGGCCAACATTGGCGGCAGAATATCTTACCTGGTAATAGGTTTTTACCCTTTCAACTGGTACAAAAACTGACACCTTTATACAAGGGATCATGTTTGCAATAACCACAACACAAGCAGTCAAAATGCAAACAAAAAGAAACAACTCTGATAATGATAAGCACTGTCCTTGAAGTTGATTGGTCCACACCCGAGACAGCTTTTCTTCGAGCCTAGTCTACATTGGTGTTGGACCAATCAACTTCAAGGACAGTGCTTATCATTATCTGAGTTATTTATTTTTGTTTTGCATTTTGACTGCTTGTGTTGTGATTATTGCAAACATGATCCCTTGTATAAAGGTGTCAGTTTTTGTACCAAGTTGAAAGGGTAAAAACCTATTACTATATTTTGCCACTGGTAAAGGAGGTCTCATAGTGTAAATCTTACCTGGTGTTGGGGTCCTCCTCTAGTCCGACTCGGCCTAAAATGAGGAGCGAGTGTGCGGTTGTCTGTGTGTGTAAACATCGGCACTGGTGAGACAAAGGCGGCCCGGCCGTGTTGCGTATCACACGCCACCCTCTCGTGCGCTGTGCCGGCATTAGGGGTCCGTCCATAAATGACGTCACAAAGTCAGACCCCCCCCCTCAAATATGACGTCACAAAGCTCTGCCCCCCCCCCCAATACCATATTTCCATTTTAAACTAAAACATCCTTCAAATCGCTTTAAACTATTGTCATTGTAGTGCGTATTTAATGTGGCGCTGCACTCTGATGTTGTAGGAGTGTTGTTATAACAATTCGTGTTGTTGTTAAGGTTTGTCACGTAAACAGAACGTGCCGATTCGTTACTAGCACAGCACTACACCGCTTGTGTGTAGGAGAGCAAACCCACAACGTTGACAATTCGAGTGCCGTGACGTTTCGCCAGTAATTACAACAACCGGCATCATCAGGCGGGCAGCCAAGAGTCGTGGATAAATCCTCCATGCTTCGTGCACAGAGGGTCACGTGTGATGGCGTCACCCGTGTGAGTCATACAGGTGCGAAGGGTGGTGGCGGGTTCAACGACACATTGAGCAGACCCACCTCTCTCTCTGCCCCCCCCCCCTCTCTCTCTAAGGCCTCGACACAAAGGCATTACTAATTGGCTGTGACCGGGTGGTGGCGGGTTCAACGACACATTCAGCAGACCCACCTCTCTCTCTGCCCCCCCCCCCTCTCTCTAATGCCTCGACACAAAGGCATTACTAATTGGCTGTGACCGGGTGGTGGCGGGTTTAACGACACATATTTACGCGATCTAACCCCCCCACCCCCTCTGTTATGAGCAGTTAGAAGGGTACAATATAGGACCTCATGGGACCTCCTTTGCCAGTACCAATATATGGGAATAATATGGCAACAAAACAGCTGTGTTAAAGAAGGCCCCGTGATGTAGCTGCTCACCCCGAGCTCTCGTTACTCTGATGGTGCGTTGTCTTTGGGCTGTCCGCCTTTTGGCGTCATCTGGTCTAACACCGTTTGAGACGAGGCTCAAAAGAA